ACCACTGCGAAAGTTAATGGGCGCTTATTGTAATAGAGCTGGAATACAAACAGGAGTTGTAAGATTTGATGGAAATCCTATAAGTGATGAGGACACTCCAGCTATGCTGGAAATGGAGGATGGAGATTCAATTGATGTTTTTCAACAACAGACGGGTGGTTGCTTGTCTCGAACATGGTAGAAGAAAGCTTGCAACACTAAATGACATTGGAATGGAAGTTAAATGCTGATTAAACTGGGAAAGTGTGTTGTACAGTGTAAAGATTTTCTCACATCCAAGCCAGCAAGGACATTTTTTTATTACATGTTAATTATGGTTAATGATGAAGTAAAGACTTCAGCAAGGAAATTGAAAACAGCAGTTAACGCTTAAAGACATGAAAGTTCTTTATTCAACTGCCCCATATGGTATGTGCTGAGCATTTTGTCTGTTACTATCATCCCATGTCATCTATCATTTTGTAAAATTCATTTATGTGTACATTTCATTTTGTTTTCCAATTTTGGCCCTAAATTTGTAGTTTACTGAGCTCTCATCTTTGGATCTTTCATCTTAATATAAACATTGTTATTTTAAGTTACTGTATGATTAGTCACTTTGTCATGACCAATAGTTACTTTTAAAAAAAATATAAGGAATTATCATTTTGAAAAATAAAAGTTTAAATGTTAAAAAAAAAAAAAAAGATTCTTGTTATACTTAGATCTATAAAAAAAAAAGAATATTGTTATACATTATACTCCAGACAGACTTTGAACCTGATATTAAGCGAATACCCGACAGGGAAAACACACTAACACACACGCTATAATTAGACCATCACAGCAGTCAGGTCACGCAACATTGCTCCTGGTCCCGGGCCGCCGCTCCAACCAATCCCCACCCCCTTCAACCCATGCCGCTATGACCCCACCCACCCCACCGATACAGTGTACCATTCTGATAGGAATTGTATTATTGTATAAACTTGTTATGGTGTCAACCATGACAAACACCTTTATTTCATACATCTGTTGTTTATACACGTATCACCTTTTTAAAAATGCAAGAGACCAACGTAACACTTCGTCTGAATGTTACTGCTTTCTGTAACTGAATTTATGTATTGATGTTTTGTTGCCAGTAGTGACAGTCCTCTTTATTGTATACATAAGTTCTACTGTAAATGATATTGTAACTTGTGTTATTGTAAATAAAAGTATTTAAAAAAGTTTTTTGTTATATATTATTGGCTAGATCAGGGGTCAGCAACCCTTTGAGACTGAAGAGCCAAAAGTTAAAAATTCCAAAATGTCCTAGTTTTTAAAGAGCCACTAACATTTTAATTTCAATTTTTGGTAATTAATTAGGATTAGGTAAATAAATTTGATTTTATTATTTGAAATAGATTTAAATTTGAAATAATATTTGATCATATAAAAACATACAACTGTTTTGCACAAAACAAAATAAAGTATTTTTACTAGTTCTGCTAGAATAATATAATTAGTATTCATATAATATAACTATAATTATTGAATAATATTTAAAGTAGTTACATCAATAGGAGCATTGGCCTTGCATGCCTTTTGAAAGTGTGGTTAAATCTTACTTATAACTTGTTGTCTACAGTTTCAAGCATGCCTCTAGATTTGTATTTGTTAAATGGCTTCTTACTTTACGTTTTAATATATTTATCCGAAGTGCCTGGTACGTCGGACTCCCAAGTCCCCTGCATTATAGCGTGGGGGAGGAGAGGTGCAAGACTGCCGGGAACCAAGAAGGGTTTGATCTCGACCCTAACCAGATATCTTGACTTTAAGCTGCGGCTTTCACGTGGCTTCGGAAGAGTGCCACTAGTCGGACCAAGCTCATGACCCCCCTAATGGGCGCGGAATGGCTAGTGGTAGCCAACAGCAGCTAGAGGTTTTTGATCTGGCCGAGTAGAACTGCTGTATGCGCTAGGTTCAAAGAATGGCCGAACGCCCCCCTCGATCAAGCTGGGTACCAAGCGGTAGGACGACGTCCCGCGTCTGGTGGGTGGGGAAGGAAAGCCCGGTGAGAGCCGACGGAAGTAGCGACCGATGTGTGGGAAACTCTTGTGGTCGGAGTTTGCTACACTGAGGCCTGCCTGGCTAATGGAATTCAACCTTCTGAGCCGGTTTCCGTATAAGGAAGGAAGAATATATTTATGCAGGTGAACGCTCGTTCGCACGAATATGCTTATCTAAAGATCGTCAGCACTCCAGATGTCAACTTCTCCTACCTTACTGTTTCATTATGGAAGACTGTTCTAAGCGTCACATATGAGTGCCTCAACTCGCATCCTTTAGTTTAGAGCTGTCCCCTTGTGCAATATAATTGGCATGCTTTTCTGAACCTCCAACTCTTTTAACTTGCTCTTGAACTTACCACTCCACAAATGTTTTATTTTCAAATACTGCTATCGTTTTTAAGCGAACCAACATCAGTTCTAAATGGCTCAATGTTGATCTCATGTGTACATGTGTTGAGAAGATTTACTATAAATCCCAGAGTACTTGCGTTTGTTTTGGATTGCTCACGTATTTTAGCGAAAACATCCTTCATTTTGCTTATAGTAATGCTAAAGCAATATGTGTCAATAGTTGCAATATTGCTTCAGATTTTCCAAATAAAGTCATTTATCTTTGAAAAAAAATGATATTCGGAACACAATTTCTTCAAGCAATAGGCTGAGTTTCCCTTCCCTTGAAGTTTTAATTTAGTCATATATTTTCTTTAGTTATAATCAGGCCGAAAATGAATATGATCTCAGAATGTTTGATAGAAATCGCCGCATTAAAGTTCCTTTTCAAACCTGACGGTCTATGGGGTAAGTGAAGTAGAGTTCACTTGTTTCTGTGACCTCAGCATATGAAGAGATAGTGTGGTCAGCAGTATGCCCAGCCGCCTTTACTTTTCCTAACATGAGTTAGGTACCCATCAGAGTTGGGTGGACTCAGGGACGGTCTACTGACTTGAACCCGGATTCGTAATCGACACTTAGGGTTAGCAGTCCAGCTCTCTACCGCTAGGCCACTCCGTCCCATAATCGCCGCATTACCGATGTGTAAAAATTGAGACGATATCTAACTACAAACTCATAGACTGACATGAGGACCTAAGTAAAAGCTCACAAATCCATTTGTTCGTTATTTGTAAACATGTGTGAGAGAAAACACAGATAGGCATTTCGTGTTTACCTCAACACCTAAAAAATATAAATTGCACACATTTAACTAGATTTCTTTAGACTAGACGAAACAAACTAAAAAACGTTAGAAGAATTTACAAGGTTTCATCTTTCAGGTTCATTGTCTTAAACTCGGGTGGGCTACGCGTTAGCTAGCTTTACGTGTAAATGTGTGTGGGGTAATGGTGTTATATATATACATATATATATATATATATACATATATATATATATATATATATATATATATATATATATATATATATATATATATGTATATATATATATAAAATATGGATTCTTGTCTAGTAGAATTCACACAGAATACTGCCGCGTATGCTATTCACATCAACTTGGAATGCTGCGGTGTATACTAGTAGCACTCACCTAGAATACTGCGATGGATATTCATATTCTAGTAACATTCACCTATATTACTGTGATGAATACGCTAGCAGCATTTATCTATATTGCTGCGATGCATACTGGTAATATTCAAATGGAATGTTGCAATGGATGCTAGAAGCATTCACCTGAAATGGTGCGATTTGTGCTAGTAGCATTCGTTTAGAATGGTGCCATGCCATGCGCGCTAGTAGCATTCACCTGAACTTGTGCGATGTATGCTAGTAGCATTCGCTTGGTATGCTGCCATGCATGCTAATGCCATTCCCCTGGAATGCTCGGAACCCTAATGACATCCCGACCGCGACATGTCACTAAGTTGAGCGTGGTGGCCCTCGACAGCTGAGCCCTAATTAGAGTTTTTTAAGCCTCATAACGTTTCGTGATCTGACACGTGACACGAGTCATAACGAGGGCGAGAGAGAGAGGGGGGTGCTGTGGGGGCGGGGACGGGCTGGGGGCACAGCTACAGTGGAAGGGGAGGCTGTGTGAGTTCATTATGTCAAATTGGGGTAAAATAATTTTCCAGTTTTTTCAAGACTTTCTAATCGTTTTATTTACTTTTCGGGAGAACTTTATTAAAAATACATTGTTAGAGGGAAAAAACTGCAGACGAATACATAATACATTATTTTTGTTTTGTAAGATAAAACCCCACTTAGCTTAAACATGAATATAATTTTCATTGATTTTTACAAACTTTTATTTAATTTGCTTCCTCTGTCTGTCGTCAGTCTGTCTAGATCGCAACGCCCGAGCGATATTTCGGGCACTTCTAACTGACAGATTCGTTTCAAAGTTGGCACGTTGGTCAAGACATCAAGACAGTGCAATCTGACATTAAATTTGACTGAATTGGATGCCTAATTAAATTTTTATGAATTAATTAAATTTGTGTGTCTTGTAATACTGGTTTGTCAATCAAACAGTAAGGTTCTATACGAGGAAGAGGTGTGGTTGTGCGATAAAACATTTGGTAACTAGACCAAAGGAGTGACTGGTAATGACAGGTTTTAATCTTGTTGTTTAATCAGCTTTAATGTGTAAATGACGCCTTAAAGAATTTTTTTTAAAGCTTTTGGCTGTTGTGCTGGTAATACAATCCAGTTAGTTGCGGTAGAAAAAAAGAGGACTCTACTCCACCTGCACCGCGACAGAACCCCAGGTCGTAAAACGGTAGTTCACGCGGTGTACTCATGATGTTGTGGTGTAACCGACTATGAAGTTTTTCCAATGTCCTGTTATCTCATGTATTTGTACCAAAAGTCCCCGAATTTGTTGAAGGGCCTTCTTAAATCGGACACAGCAAAATCAGATATCAATAATTAACAGCTCCGAAAGATTTCATTTTTTTTTCTTAGTCACGAAAAATAAACAATAAAAAAATAAAAATATACCTACACAATTTGGTTGGTAAATCGTTTTATCGCCCAGCGACTTGACTTGTCTAGAATCAGAACTGTCTTCCAGATTGTCCTTGACGTTGAAACTGACTTTCTTCTGCTGGTCAAAACTTTTCTTCACCGGGCTGTAGTTCTCCTCTTTGGTCTCTTTGGGCAGGCTGCAGTCGTTGAACGCAGTGACCAGCGTGGTATCCACGGCCACCGTTTGACCGCAGCCCTGAATGAATTTGTTTTTAAACAGCGAGCCCGCCCTTGCGTGTCTGCGCATGTCCGAACGTAGAAGAACTAAAATGGCGCTGACGATTATAATCGACAGAAGGCAGGTAGCGCCGGCGATGACACCGACTATGACTACGTAATGATCTCGTTTATCTTCGGGTGTTTCCGTACTGTTGGCGAAGTTGACTTCGATTTTTAACTGCGTTGTGGAATTTCTCGGCGTTTTCGAGACATCGGAAACAGAAATTGAAAGTAGGTAATCTGCGGGATTTCCCAAAGATTCTGTTTTGTGAAGTTTTATCTCACCGGTTACTGAATCGATGGTGAAAAATCCTTTTTCGTTGCCTTCGGAAATGGTGTAACGCAGGTTCGCGAAATCGCCTTGATCGAGGTCGTAAGCGATGACGCGACCGAGGAGAGTTCCCGTTTCTGGAAAATTCGAGATCAAAACCGTGTGGTTTTTAGACGTGGGGAAAAGAAACAAAGGCTCGTTGTCGTTTTCGTCGTTGATTTTAATATCCACTGAAGCGGAACTGGTCTGCGGGTTGTCTCCGTAGTCAGAAACCAGCACGTTAAAAGAGTAGGTGTCCTTGACCTCGCGGTCAATTTGACCAATCAGGAAGATGGATCCGTTTTTGGAAACGTGGAACGGCAAGGTCGCTTCGGAGTTTGAGTAGAAATATAACTCCCCGTTTCTACCCGAATCCGCGTCATGAGCGTTGAGCTGACCGACAAAGCTGTTGTTGGCTGACCACTCGGACACGGAGAAGTTGAAACTCGAGACGTTGAACTGCGGGGCGTTGTCGTTGACGTCCGCGACCGTGATGAAAACTTGAGCCGTGCCCGTGGTGGGTTTGTCTCCCTTGTCCGCGGCGAAGACCTCGAAGGAAAGGCTGTGGTTTTTTTCTCGGTCTAGTTTGTTGGCGGTAGTGATGATGCCGGACCGCGGGTGGATCTTGAGGTATCCGCGAACCTCCGAGGGGAGGGAATACAAGACCTCGGCGTTCATGCCGAAGTCCGCGTCTTTCGCGGAAACCTGGATGACGAACTGGTCCTGAAGGTTTTCCGTCACCTTCGCGTTGTACACCTGCTGCTGAAACACCGGCGCGTTGTCGTTGGCGTCGGTGAGGTTCACGGTCAAGGACACCTGCGTCTCCAGAGGATTCGGCGCCCTGTCCATACACGAGATGACGATGACGTAAGAGTCTCTTTTTTCACGGTCCACCGGCCTGTTAACCAGGAGGGTGTAACCTTTCCGGGCCACCGGCTTCAGCTTGAACTCGTTGCCGGATAAAAGCCGGCAGTCGGCCTCGCCGGCGGCTCCTTCGTCGTCATCGTCCACGTCGATGAACGCGACGAAAAAATCGACGACGGCCGATTCCGGGATCGACACCACCGTGGCGTCCCCCGCCAGAACGGTGTTGACCTTCACCTTCGGGGGGTCGTTTCCGGATTTCTTGATATCGACGAGCACCTGGGTCTGGCTGACCCGGGGCGGGTAGCCCCCGTCCTTGGCGTCCACGTAGACCAACAGCGGCCCGGACCGTCGGGCTTCCCGCAGGTCCCCGGCGACCTTGACCTCCCCGCTGGTGGCGTTCAGGGCCAGTAGATTTTTGATGGCCGGCGGGGTGGCCAAACTGAACTGGTACTTGACCGTCCCGAAGTAGCCGCCATCTTTGTCAAGAGCTCGGACCTACAAATAAAAGGTAAAAAAACAACACGTCGTTACATCATCCGAGTTTTAGGGTATCCATAAATTAATTATTCATTTGACACTGTACTTTTCGGTATAGAGCGAATGCTTTATCATACTAATATCTAGCCTACCCAAGACACTCCAGATAAAGAATTACCTACTTGACCACCCTCCCCACTTATAGAATTACCTCATTCCTACCTTTCCGGCCCCCACCTATAGAATTACCTTATTCCTACCTGTCGACCCCGCCTATAGAATTACCTAAATGCTACCTGTCCACCACTACCTATAGAATTGCCTAATTCCTACCTGTCCAAACCCACCTATATAATTACCTCATTCCTACCTATTCACCCCCATCTATACAATTACCTCATTACTACTTATCCACCCACCCCTACCTATAGATTTACCTCATTCCTACCTGTCCTACAATTATAAAATAACCTTGGTCCTACGCCCCCCACCTATAGAATTACCTCATTCCTACCTGTTCACCCCCCCACCTATAGAATTACCTCATTCCTACCTGTCCCCCCCACCTATAGAATTACCTCATTCCTACCTGTCCCCCCCACCTATAGAATTACCTCATTCCTACCTGTCCCCCCCCCCACCTATAGAATTACCTCATTCCTACCTGTCCCCCCCACCTATAGAATTACCTCATTCCTACCTGTCCCCCCCACCTATAGAATTACCTCATTCCTACCTGTCCCCCCCCACCTATAGAATTACCTCATTCCTACCTGTCCCCCCCCCCCCACCTATAGAATTACCTCATTCCTACCTGTCCCCCCCCCACCTATAGAATTACCTCATTCCTACCTTTCCGCCCCCACCTAAAGAATTACCTCATTCCTACCTTTCCGCCCCCACCTATAGAATTACCTCATTCCTACCTTTCCGCCCCCACCTATAGAATTACCTCATTCCTACCTTTCCGCCCCCACCTATAGAATTACCTCATTCCTACCTTTCCGCCCCCACCTATAGAATTACCTCATTCCTACCTTTCCGCCCCCACCTATAGAATTACCTCATTCCTACCTTTCCGCCCCCCCCTATAGAATTACCTCATTCCTACCTTTCCGCCCCCACCTATAGAATTACCCCATTCCTACCTGTCCCCCCACCTATAGAATTACCTCATTCCTACCTTTCCGCCCCCACCTATAGAATTACCTCATTCCTACCTTTCCGCCCCCACCTATAGAATTACCTCATTCCTACCTTTCCGCCCCCACCTATAGAATTACCTCATTCCTACCTTTCCGCCCCCACCTATAGAATTACCCCATTCCTACCTGTCCCCCCACCTATAGAATTACCTCATTCCTACCTGTCCTCCCACCTATAGAATTACCCCATTCCTACCTGTCCCCCCACCTATAGAATTACCTCATTCCTACCTGTCCTCCCACCTATAGAATTACCCCATTCCTACCTGTCCACCCACCTATGAATTACCTCATTCCTACCTGTCCAACCACCGCCCCCACCGGTTCGGTCTCCGGCACCGTCCACTGGTACTTGAGCGAATCGAAGACGGGCGTGTTGTCGTTCTCATCCGTCACCATGACCTTGACCTTGAGGAAGTCGCTCTTGGGCCGGCTGCCGCCGTCGTAGGCCACGAGGTTGAAGGTGAAGGACTCGGCGGCCTCACGGTCCAGCTCGCGCTCCAGGCGGAGGTTGATGGTGCTGCTGCCGTCGGGGTGGCTGGTGGGGTGGATGCTGAAGATGGCCACCACCGGGGTCATGTTGTAGCTCTGGACCTGGAACTCTGGGACGGCGTCACGGTCCACGGCACCGCTGATTTTGAGCTCCGTCCCGACCTGGGGGTTAAAAAAAAACAAATATTGTTTTAAACTGTAATGACTTAGTACAAGAACAAATATCTCTAGAAATATACGAGCGTAGTGAAAATCAATGGCATAACATAAATTACGACACCTGTGCCGGATTACTTGTTCTACCGCCACAACACATGCGCACATGCGCGCACACACACACACACATACGCACGCACGCACACACAAACACACATTCGTACACACAAAAACACATACACACGTACACGACCGCACAGATAATTTTTGTTTGGGTTATTCCTACACTAAATATAATATGAGCAAACATTAACTCAACGACCAAACAAGTCAAGGTTCTATTAATGACATCGTTTTTGGGTTATATCTTCACAGTAACAATTTTTCTGCGTTAGCGTTGTTAAGAAGTGGCTACAATTGCTGGTAACAACAGTTTAAAATCACAAGAAGTGGTGATATTGTGGCTTGTTAACGTTAATTAAAATAAAAATTAACACAAAACGCAAGATCACTCTAAACCACATTCTTTAAAATATTACTTAAACACAGGTATGTAACGATTGAGATTATGATAAAAATAAAAAAACCTAACCACGTAACATTCACCTTAAAACGAAGAAAAACAATGAGCTAAAACCCCAAGCCCCCAAACAACCAGTAAGTAAAGAGACAATACCTTGGCGACCTCTGAGATTTCTAGAGTAACTTCCCTTGCCGGAAAAGTTGGCGTGTGGTCATTAATGTCGTTAATGATGACCTTGACCGTTTCAATGTTGGAGAACGCGCTCGACTCTTGAGACAATGATTGGATGGCGATGTTGAACTGTACCTGGAAAATGTGTCATTTAGAACCTAATTCAGAAACGGTGTGTCGCAACTGTGTATATATATATATATATATATATATATATATATATATATATATATATATATATATATATATATATATGTATGTATATAAACTAATTTAGGTTCACTTTTTAATCTTACATTTCCTCGCCAGAGTTTGAAGTTGTATGATGAAACACACCCGTGAATAAATTAAAACACTTGTTAATGCACTGATACACTTGTTTAATGGGAATCCTTTAAGGCACATGCACATCTATCGACTCGGATATACAATAAAAAGAGTTCAATGTAGTCTGGCAATTGTAAAACTAAACACACATTCTTTTATAATCAGGGATTAAATACATCTTGCCTAGGATAAAGCGTAATCTGGCAAGGATTAATGATTACCTGGTACTGGTAACATTTTATTGTAACTGGGAAAAACAAATAATTACCTTTGCGAGGATAAAATTATAGCTGGCAAGTAAAAATTTTTAACTGGCTAGTAAATGAATGATTACCTGGCAATGATAGCGCCGGTCACAAATCTCCTCCCTGTCGATTCTCCTGGCCACACTGATCGTCCGCGTGGATTGGTCAATCTTAAAATAACTCGCCGGCGGCGTCTTCTGGTTCAAGATGGCGACCATCACGTGTTCGGGGTTTAGATTGTTGTAGACGTGAGGTGGTATGGTGGTGACGACCGAGTCGATGGGTAACTCCTCATCGATGGTAGCTGTCAGGTCCGCCTCGACATTTTGTGGTAGACAGGACAGCAGCGAACAGGACAGTACCAGCCATGACAGCAATGGAAAGCGCATGGTGAATGATGATGTTGTAGAAGAACGCTGCTGATTCGGCCTTAAATGAAACCTTATACAGAATGTTTTTTTCTTGGTTGCATCTAACGATGGGGCTATTTAGATTGAAAACAACATGGATTTCTTTCATACATATTTGACTTCAGATGTTTCCGTTAAAGTATTCTTCAAATCTTTTGAAATTCTGGAAAAAAAAAACGAAGATTTAAAACAATTTTTTTAAAAGATTGACGAAAGAAAAATTGTGTAAGCATTAGCGGGTCCAAACCTTTATGTAGTTTTTGGGTTAGGTGCTCTTAAAATGTTTAAGGAACAGAACACGTTTTAACATTTACAACAGCTAGAAATATGCAAAAGATTTGTTAAATCTCGATAGGCTGATTTTCCTTCAATGTTTTTTTTCTCGGTAACTACTCTCTAGATCCGCCTGTCTGTTTAGGAAAGCTTCATCATGGTTTGCTTCTGAGGCTAACACAAAAAAAATGTATGATGTAATTCAACATTTTTTATGAATTATATACCTGATTTCTATTATATTTTAAATCACTGATTGTTAATTTTGATAAAATGAGTAGATTAAAATTATTAAAAAAAAAAGTAAGCAATGTCTTTGTTTGACAGCTTAACACGAATGTTCACGCAACTAGTTTTAATTTAAGCCGAATAGCTCAAACGCCGACTACCTTGTGCTAGGGTAGATTTCGTATCACATTCATCACCCCCCCCCCCCTCCCAGGTACGTCTACATAACCGCCGCTTACCTTTATATAGCCGACCAACATTGTACATTAAAAAAATTATGTTACGTCAATTACGTTTTTCTTTGTCTACTGCATTTTCCACAATTGGTTAAAAAAATGTCAGATACCATTTTAAATATAAAATAATAAACGTAATATCGCTACCCTACAACCCAACTTTTCTAGCTAAATTTTTCGATGTTTATTCACAATTGTGTTCTAAACCAATCAAGGTATCATCGCAAAAAAATACTCGTAGCCATATCTTTCACCACAGAGGCGTAGCGACCCTTCCCGGCGCCCGGGGACAAACTTCCGATTTGCATCCCCCCCTCAAACTTTCGATTTGCACCCCCCCCTCGAACTTTTGATCTGAACCCCCCCCCCCCCCCCCCCTTCAAACTTTCAATTTGTTTTTCCAATTTTCCAACCCATTTTGGCGCCCCCCTAAGGTCGGCGCCCGGGGAAATATGTCCCCCCCACCCTCGCTACGCCTCTGTTTCACCATTATTACACTACAATTTAATTTCACCAAGTGCTTAAATTAGAAATGTCGAAACAATATGTAAAGCCTTGTTGTGAACATTTTTCTTCTTTGTTCTTAATTTTTAGTGTTGGAAGGGATCCCCTCCAACACAATTAAGTATATGTGCCAACTGGTTATGCGCCACTGATTCCATTGACTCCGATCTCAGCCTGCTTTTCTTTTTGGATTTGCTTCCATAGACCTTGTCATACTACAAGGCAGCAGTTCTTTGATTTTTGGAGTTGTCTCTCCTAGAAGTGTGGCTGTCCCCAGCTAACGAGCCTCATCTGCCCGACGGTTCGAACTCGAGACCTTTCGGCTTAGCAACCATGAGCTTCACAGACTCGACCACGCCGTAAATATTTTTATTTTATTTTAAACATAGGACTGATAATACTGTTAGGTAATCTGGTGGTTCATAGCCTCAATATTCGAAGTCTAAACTACTTACTCAGGCTTAAACTAGTGGATCTAGCTATTAATAGGCTTAGTGTTAATATTAATAATTAAAAATTGTCTCTTATTTTTTAAAAATACTTTTATTTTCCAATTTAAAACAAATACAGCAACATTCCACGCCGTTTGGGTGGATATTTACAAGGTAGTTACATTGATGTACAGAGTATAGTAAATACATAGCGAAATAAGTAAATGAATATAAAAGATACATTGAAAATTTCACTTTTTAGCGCAATTTCCATACTGGCAATTGCGTTTAATAATTCGTCATTTCTGGATGGATGGATGTGTGGATGTGTGTCTGCAGCTTTAAGTCGTATCTCCTCCTCAACGAAGCAATATCGAGGACTAGTTCCAAAGCAAATATGTTAAGCAAGTTCCGAGGATGATTGTGGGCCAAAAAAATTCCCGGAATTCCTTCCTGGATTTCCCGGAAAAGCCAAAAAACCTCGAAAACATGCAGTTTTTTTGCCCATATCTCGGCAACCAGACCACTTAGCGACTTGAAACATTTACCAACCGATTCCTGCCATAATTTAGAACAATATTGCCAAAGAAAGTTTTCAAAAATATCCTTTCGTTCGGTCACAAAATTTTTAAAAATATATTTTATAACATCGTGTAGGCCTAGGATGATATTTACTACTTTTTAAAGCTGAGCATCGTGTAGGCCTACTTGTTAAAATAAAACTATTTCCGTTGATATAGGTTAATATAGTTGTCTTTTTTTTTTAGCGCAAAAAAATATCCTTTCGTTCGGTCACAAAAAATTAAAAATTGTTATGAATAACATAAGGAAATTGCGCTTAAATTGTCACTATACTTTTTATTAACTTGTTTTCTTTTTGTTTGTAAATATTTTTATTAATTTTCTTTTTTTTTAACTAATTATAAATTGACCCTTAGTTTTTTTTTTTTTTTTTTTTTTTTTTTTTTTTTTTTTTCCCATCAAATTTTTATTGATTTTTTTTAAAGTGACAGTGTTGACATAAAAGTTAGCTCTCACTAGATTTTATTGCAAAAGAAACATCTATCATAACATGAAATCACAATAATTGATTTATCAAAATACTATAAGGTGGTACATAGTTTCAGCACCTTTATTGAAAAATAAGTTTCTTTTCAAGACTCAGGGAAAGTTAAAAGTCCCTATTAAAAACTTAAATTGCATGTCACTATTTAAAAAAAATGTTTTCTAAATATCTTAAAACAACATTAGTTAAAACTTATCTATAAAACCACACATTCATTTATCCAACTAATATATCAACATGCATTGTTTTGTATGCAGCTAGTGAATGTACTGTTTATATTTAGAGCAAATAAATCATGACTAGTATAACTAAATAAGCTAATGTAATTTCTATTTCAATTAAGATAAAAAAAAATTTAATACCACATGAAGTCGCTATTAATAAAACTAGTTTATGAGTATCAAAATGGAATGCATTATTTACTACCTGTCGCTATACATGGCCTTTTTAAAAAATTATCCTGTTAACCTCTATTAACTGACTCATTGATTGAAAAGCTAAACTACACAGTAACCGCTGAAGTACTTGAAGAAGCTGTTATCATTACTGTTATGTGGTTAAAGTTCATATTGAAATAACAGAATATTGTGTTATCCACGTGTATTCAGCTTTCAGAAAAAAACTGCATGTTTAAAAGAAAGAAGAAATTGATTTAAACAATGCAGCTTTCACTCTAGTGCTATAGCTAAAAAATGACTATTTAATGCATACATTCAATGTTTACAACAAATATTAAGCAATACAAGGCATTTAATCATACTTGGAAAAAAAATCAAAGTACAAATGTTTCAACTTAAACAATTTTTTTCAGTGAAAACTTGAGATGAAAGATGATTAACAAATGAATTTTTAAATAATTGACATAAAATGCCATGATTACTCTCACCATTATAGAGCTGAAATGATTACCAACATGGCAATACTTTTGCTATTGATTTTATAAATTACAAATAACAAAAGAAAATGTTTATTACTGTATCATCATAAGGTATCTTGAATATTGCCTTTTAAATAATTACTATCACAAATATCAATCTTAAGATAAATATTAACTGATTAATTAAGAGCCAAATGTTCATTAAATTTAAGGAAATATAATAACATAGCAGTTAAAATATCACTGTAATTCTTCTACAGTAGGGAACAATGGCTAAGAACCTGATTCAGAATGCAGTGCAGAGTACAAAATGATCCATGCAACTAAAAATGATGAAAATGATGTCATAAGACCTTCTTTAAGAATTTCTGAGGCACCACCATATTCTTCTTCATCAATCTTTTGAAAACTATTGTAATAAATGTACACAATTGCCACATTCACTAATATAAACAAAGCAAGACCAATATATCCTTTAAGGGGAATAACGCCCCATACAAGACCTAGCAGAACACCCAGTATTTGTCTCATCCAATAAATCACATCCAAAAATTCATCCTTGTCGCCCCAATGAAACTCCGGGGTCAGAGCCTTTGACAACAAAGATTGATTTGCATGCGCATCGTCAATGTTTGATTTAGAGGACTTTTTGCTTGAAATTGTCATTGTTTGTTCGTCTAAAACTATTAATTTTGTATTATGTATATTATTTACACTTTAAAATAAAGAAATGTTGAAAAAAATACAAATTATTTAAATGAAACTATTTTTTAAACGTGTCCACCATGTTGTTTGTATAGTCAATATAAATTGACCCTTAGGATAAGGGTTCCAAAATTGGTAAAATTTCTCATCTATCTATGCAGTTATATGGAGTAAATATTCTTTCTGTTTAAAAAAGTCTTTAAAAATTACTGTGTTTATTTTAAACTTCACTTCAGTATTGTTTTTTGTGTCTAAACAATGCTAACATACTGATAACTTTGTTATTTGCTTTAAAAACATTTTTATTAAATTATTGCCACAACTAACAAATTTAATTTTATTTGCTTTATTAATTTTGTTGTACATATTTTCGTTAGTTTTAGGAAGCTAACGCAAAGTTGTCTCCCTTAATTTAATTTTTTTTAAAATAAAAAAAAATACAAATTATTTTTTAATTTTTACCTTCTCGAATATAGTTACAGAACAAGCATTGTATTCTTGCAAAAATTGTTTAATGCTTGCACTTATGAATATTTACTTTATTTAAAAAAATGTTTGCGTTTAAAAGCTTATTATTGTACACGTTTAAAAAAAATATAGTTCCTTCTTCGCTAAATACAATAAACCATGGTTTAATTTTAATTCACCAGCGGAGTTCTGTTAAAAGAACAAACCCACTATCACTGCCAGTTAGTTGTATGCATTTTGTATGTTGTGTTTGTTGTAGTACAAAGTATATATATATATATATATATATATATATATATATATATATATATATATATATATATATATATATATATATATATATATATATATATATATATATATTGTATATTCAACACGTCAGCATCCTTAGCTTAAATGTTTTGTGTTTGCTGTAGCATTAAGTATATTTGTTATATTCAACACCTCACCATCATTAGCTTAATTAAATGTTTTGTGTCTACTGTAGAATACATGTGGACGGTCACCCAGCAAACGAGCCTCATCTGCCCGAGGGTTTGAACTCAAGACCTTTCGGTTTAGCAACCATGAGCTTTACCGACTCGACCACGCCGACCCAAAAACAACTGTTTTAAAATGTAAATTAAAATAAATTCTTAAATCTTCTTATTCTTCGTTCTTAATTATTAGTGTTGAAGGGGATCGAGATTTATTTGCCGGTGGGCTTGAACTCGAGACTTTTTGTTCGAATTTATCAACCATGAGCTTTTTGCCGACTCGACCACGCCTCCAACACAAATTAAGCGTTACGTGTCAACTGGTTATGCGCCATTGAGGCCATTGACTCCGATTTCAGCCTGCTTTTCTTTTTGGATTTGCTTCCATAGCCTTTGTCCAACCAAGAACAAACTACAAGACAGCAGTTGTTTAATTTTGGAGTTGTCTCTCCTAGAAGAGTGGCTGTCCCCAGCTAACGAGCCTCATCTGCCCGAGGGTTCGAACTCGAGACTTTTCGGTTTAGCAACCATGAGCTTTACCAAATGCGAGTTACATTACATTGAAGGTATTAGACGCCATTTAAAATGTACTTGATGAATAAGCACAAAAAAAACAACCGTAATGCACCAAAAATAGTTTCATAACAAATGACGTTTTGACCATGTGAATTCGTCGAATTGATAAATAAAACAATACAAAAATCTTAACAATTTAAAAAAAAAATATTTATTTAAAACTAGTCACCTTGTGTTGTCCTATGCTACATTAGATAACATTATTAATAGAAAACGTTTCCATAGTAAAAGGTCATCCATAAAAGACGTCACTCTTTTTTTGGACGATTTTTACCTCCCCCCTCTCGGTCACACATCGTCAAAAAAGCCAGACCCCCCCCCCCCTAAAATGACGTCACACCTCAACCTACACCACCCCTCCCCCCTTCCTAAAAATTAGAGTTGAATTTTTCTAAAAACATCGATAGTTTTCCATTATCTTGTCTGAACTCTGTCAACATAGAGTATTTTAATGAATTTCTATTACAATGTTTTTAAACGCATTGTTTTTTTTATAATGCAACAGTGAGACGTCACACCCTCTGATCCCCCCCCCCCCCTCCCTCTCATCACACACCGCTGAACCCCTCCCCCCCTCCCTTTCATCACACCGTGGGACCCATTCGATTGTGACGTCATTTATGGACGACCACTAAATGAAAAGTTACTTACATTATATTTTTTCACGCCTAGCTCAAGTCTAACGTTAAGCCAAAGCCACGGATTATTTGTGTGAGAGTTCATTATAATTATACAAGTTCAGTAGTTAATTAATGACTATTTGTTTCGTCATCTTCTAAAGCGGCGGTTCTTAACCTTTTTGGAGGTACCGAATTTCTTCCGTTTTATATGTGCATTCACCGAACCCTTTTTAATAGCACTATCGTATGCACTGGCCAAGTCAGATCGTGAATCGTGTGAATCTTTACCTCCGCCGAACCCTTGAGACTAATTCACCGAACCCTTGGGGTTCGATTGAACCCAGGTTAAGAACCACTGATCTAAGACGGAGAGTAACACGCTGGCCAAGCGTTAAATTAGGATTTACATAACTCACAGTGTGCTGCGTCTGTTATGTAAGACACCTATCAGTGTCTGTCAGCCAATGCGATACTGACGTCTGTCAGTAATTAGGCTACGAGTCTGTCAGTAATTAGGCTACGAGTCTGTCAGTAATTATGATAGCAGTGTCTGTCAGTTATTGCGATACCAGTTTCTGAAGTTTATGAAAATGCGAATCTCGGTCAGTCATATGGCTCGGTTAAGATTATTTAGTGTGCGTTTTTTAATAACTTGTACCGAACCCAACGTTACAAGCCACGGTTAGTACTAGATTATGTAATCTAATATATAAAGCTCAGTTCTGTAACGTGTGGCGAAAAAAAAGTTTGTCGTTGACAGTTCTACGGATTTAAGTGTTAGATTTTTTATCGTGCTCACAGTCTAAATTTACGAGTCGAAAAATTACCATTGAAAGTCTTTAAAAACAATTTTCATTCTATTTACTTAGAAGAATAATTTTCAATTATGAAAACGACATAAAATTTTTAAAAAGTGTATCGACGTTTATAAAATTTCTAAAATTGTGTCGGAAATGTATTGACTGCAAAGTTACTTCCCTTTAATGAAAAATAAATCCTTAAGAAGAGAGAATTAACATTTTATTACTTTGTTTTTGGTGTTAAGAAAAAAAAAATAATTACACAATTAGCGGGGATTGATTAAGTGCAATGTCGTTAGGTATTTTTAACACTGCCTTTTATTTATTCTATACACTGAACATACTGTTCAATAATTATTATTTTTTTTTAAAATCAATAACATTTAATAAGCCAGGTCCTACAAATCATATACGTTTATTTCTTTCCATTTACGGATAAGCTTGGAGTATTATCATTTTTGTTCACTAAATTGAAACAGGCGCGTCCGCCGGCGCCCCTGCACGGTTTGATTTGGCACCCTGGGCTATCATGTGAGCGCTATGCTGCATAATTTTGTTTTAAACAGTGCTATAGACTATGGATAAGAAAGGTTACTATAGTCTTTAAGTGAATCAAATCCGGGCGTCCTCCGGCACCCCGACAGGGTGCTATTTGGCGCCCCGGGCCTTCCGGTGTACGCTATGGTATCTACGTTCGCGTGAGTTCAAAAGACTATAAATAAGTTATGCACTATAGGCGTTTACTAAGTTCAATCAGGCGGTGACGTCATGGTGCGTCCTCTGGCGCCCAGACAGGGTGCTATTTGGGGTCCCGGGCCTCCCGTGTTCGGTTTCGCGCCTACGTTCATTAAAGTGAGTGCAAAAGACTATGAATAAGTTGGGGTACTATAGTCGTTTATTAAGTTGAAGTAGGCGATTCAGCCCCGTGAGCACTTTGCGTTTATATTCGCGTTAGTGTTTTCTTTGTGTTTAGGTTGGGTTTGCGTTAGTGGTTGCGTTTTGATTTGGTTCGTTTTTGTTCTTTCTTTTTTCGTTTTCGTTTGTGTTTTATTTTCATTGGGTTTGTGTTTGTATTTGTGTTTGAGGTTGGTTTTGCGTTTGGATTTGGTTTGTTTTCGTTTGTTTTTTCTTTTGTGTTTTTTTTCTTTGGGTTTGTGGTTGGTTTTGCGTTTGTATTTGGTTTGTTTTCGTTTGCTTTTTGGTTTGTTTTTTTCTTTGGGTTTGTGTTTGTGGTTGATTTTGTGTTTGGATTTGGTTTGTTTTCGTTTGCTTTTTTCTTTGTGTTCGTATTGGTGTTTGTGGTTGTGGTTGGTTTGTTGTAAGTTTTTGTTTTCGTTTGTATTTGTAATTGTGTTAGCGTTATGTTTGCGTTTTGTTGTTTTGGTTTTGGTTGGTTGTGGTTTGGGTGGGCAATGCCGGGTTTATGATGATTACTAAACACACAGGTGATGGTCTTTAACAGAAGGGTTTTTCACAGAAGCCAGAGCAGGGCCTGGCCGGGACGGCTAGTGTTTTATATGTAACAATGTTCTGTATTTTCTTTCTTCTTCGTTCTTAATTTTAGTGTTGGAAGGGATACCCCTCCAACACAATTAAGGATACGTGTCAACTGGTTATGCGCCATTGAGGCAGTGTTTCTTCCAGACTTTTTTCTCCGGGCGGACGCTGTTAAAAATTATATATTTTCTATATAAATTCCATTTCGTTCGGGGGGGGGGGGCGGTAGAAGAGATGCCTGGAAGAAACTCTGCATTCAGACCATTGACTCCGATTTCAGCCTGCTTTTCTTTTTGGATTTGCTTCCACTAGCCTTTGTCCAACCAAGAACAAACTACAAGGCAGTAGTTGTTTGATTTTGGAGTATTTAGTAACGTTTAAATATTATGGGATAGCGTGGCCTAGCGGTAGAAGATTAGACTGATAAATCGAAAATCTTGAGTTAGGATCCGGGTTCAAGTCAGCAGAACAGTGGTTCCCAACCTTTTTCAAGTGGCGACCCCCTTTTATAAAAAGTAAGTGAC